AAGGCCAAACAAAGTAGTTTTGCTTTCACAACAAAACACACAGTGTCACACACGGCGGGCTAGAGGGAGTGGCGGCCGGGGGATAAAGTGAGAAACGGCCAGAGGGCTTGAGAACGGCGCGGCCGGCGGATTCGACGAAGGAACGGCTGGCGGGCTTGCGGCAATCACATGTGATGAGCCCGGGCTGGACTCCGCTTCGTCCACGGTGAAAGCCGATCCGGCGATCCACAGCGCGAAGTTGATGTATTTCCTCAGCGACCAGCACGGATCAGTTCTAGGCATGACGAAGTGGATATCGTCCTCTTTTGGAAGGCCAAACAAAGTAGTTTTGCTTTCACAACAAAACACACAGCGTCACACACGGCGGGCTAGAGTGAGCGGCGGCCGGGGGATAAAGTGAGGAATGGCCGGAGGGCTAGAGTGAGCGGAGGCCGGTGGGCTTGAGAACGGCGCGGCCGGCGGATTCGATGAAGGAACGGCCGGCGGGCTTGCGGCAATCACATGTGATGAGCCCGGGCTGGACTCCGCCTCGTCCACGGTGAAAGCCGATCCGGCGATCCACAGTGTGAAGTTGATGTATTTCTTCAGCGACCAGCACGGATCAGCTCCAGGCATGACGAAGTGGATCTCGTCCTTTTTTGGAAGGCCAAACAAAGTAGTTTCGCTTTCACAATGAAACACACAGCGTCTTCACAACATGGCGGCAGCAACAATACTACAAGCAAGAATAAAAGTTACACCTTCTTTCTTTGCGTGAACATTTGGGCGGCATTATGCAAATCTTCCCACATCGTGACATAGGTATGTGGGGGGGGGGTGTTAGAACGAGCCGTTTTAGGTAGGCGTGTTTTATCTCTTTGGATTTGAGACTTTAGTCTTTGCAACTTTACAGATCTTCTTTATGCACCAAGAGCTTGTAACCCTTCAAAGAGAAAGGAAAAATTGAAATCGCATCATATGACCCCTTTAAAACGCAATGGGCTCCGGGAAGGCGAGAGAGACACGGACTCCTGCTGTAACTTTACCTGCTGGTGTCGCTGTTGGACAATATTTCTTCAGAAAAACAAGTGATTTATACACTTTTAATGTTATATTTTGTAATCGAGTGGGGGAACTATGACGTCACTTTGTAGGCGGATTGGCTGTTAGCATCGCACTGGTTCCCTCGACAAAAAGCCAATGGGATTTTTCCATAATGATTAGCTGGTTCAGGTGTGTTTGATTAGAGTTGGAGCTAAACTCTGAAGGAAAGTGGCCTGGAAGGGCCAAGTTTGCCCACCCCTGCTATAAACAAACTGCACCTCCATGGTCGCTCGCCTTCAGCATCGTCACCACCATGCTTCCCACAACTTTTCAAACTTATTTTTAACAGTGAAAAGGATTTACTCTGTATATGAATTTTAATCCACTCTATTAACCTTTTCATATAAACTGGAATAAATACAAAACTAGAGCCAAACTAAAACTGAAATGAGACATTAGTAATACATAGTATAGTGAATAAATGAAATTATCATAAGTAAAGAACATATGAAAGCACATATTTCTGTACATTTCGAAATAAGGTGCATTAAAAGTGAATAAATCTTTGATTAACATGAATATTTTAATTAAAAATGTCTCCACGTACTATTCAATATAATTCTAGTGCGTTTAATTTATTAAATAACAGCAGAGTGAGCAATTTTTTTTAGATATGGTAAGATTAAACTTATTTTAGTGAATAAAGTACCACATTTCAGCTATCGTTTTGTTAGGGTGGGTACACAAAATGTTATATTATCCTTGCTTCTAGAAAATCCTCAATCTATATGTTTTCTAACAGCTGCTTGTGGCCATAAACATTTCATTTTAAAGGGGTCATATGATGCTGCTAAAAAGAACATTATTTTGTGTATTTAATGTAATGAAATGTGTTTATGCGGTTTAAAGTTCTAAAAACACATTATTTTCCACATACTGTACATTATTGTTTCTCCTCTATGCCCCGCCTTTTTGAAACGTGTCGATTTTTACAAAGCTCATCTGTCTGAAAAGCGAGGTGTGCTGTGATTGGCCAGCTATCCAGTGAGTTGTGATTGGCCGAATACCTCAAGCGTGAGACAGAAATGTTATGCCCCTCACATACTGTTGATGCCGTGTCCAGCCGGAGCGATGATTGAAAAAACATTAAAACCCATTACAAACGAGGCATTTGTTGCATCCAGTGGGGACATAATTACTGATTATAATGACTTATACTGTGTTTTTACGCGTAAACATAAAACTCTGTCTGCATTTGTGATTGGATAATGAAACACACAGCTCTTCACGACATGGCTGCAGCGTCAACAATACTACAGCGAGAATAAAAGTTACGCCTTCTTTCTTTGCGTGAACATTTGGGCGGCGTTATGCAAATCTTCCCACATAGTGAGGTAGATATGTGGGGGCATGTTAGAACGAGCCGTTTTAGGTAGGTGTGGCTGACTCTGAACTTTTATAAAGAATATCTCTTTGGATTTGAGACTTTAGTCTTTGCAACTTTACAGATCTTCTTTACGCACCAAGAGCTTGTAACACTCCAAAGAGAAAGGAAAAATTGAAATCGCATCATATGACCCCTTTAACGTGGCTTTAAGCACTATGCATCGTTAAAGTTTCACTTTCACCATGACTAAGCCAGTAAATGTGGCGTTTACATGGAATAATCATAATATGACTGAGTTTACCTTATGGTTCGAACCCAGCGTCTCTGTATCAGTAAACGATAAAACGAGCATCTTCCATCTGAAGACTTGTGTTGCATTTCGGGGGAAAACAAAAAAAAAAAAACATTGTCTAACAACAATATAAAATTCTACAATTAATTTTACTATAAATTATACTACAATTGGAATATGCTGTAAATTGATAAACTGTTTGGCGAGATGACGTTTAATGTCTCCGACAGCACCTGTAGTCCCATTTAGCAACTTGTTAGCAACCGTCTTTTTTAAGAAACGTAATGACAAACAACAAGTGCTACTCTACTGCCCAAAACTCACGTTTAAATCATCAATGGCAAATCCTTTAAATGAACGTACTTACGTGAGTCAAACCGTCTTTTTTAAGAAACGTAACAGTTTTAAAAAATCACGAGTGGGGTGTAACTAGTGTGTTTTATGTTGTAGAATAAAACATGAAAGTATATTGAGCTTGTGTGAACCATGGACCTTATTTTTAGGGGATTTAACCAAACTCCCATTCAAAAAACCCATTGACTCTGGGACGATGGAACCGGAAGTGCTAAAATGCTAACTCGCTTCCGGGTTTTTCCTACAAAGTGACATCATAGTTCCACCACTCTATATTGCGGTTGTTTTATTTTTGCACTACGATATTTTTTCTCATCCAATATTTTGAGGAGACACTGCCTCCCTTGCCTACTCGGAGGAAACGCTGGGTAGATTACTTACAAATTGTAGTCCGTTACTGATTCCAAATTACATGACAAAAATTGTACTTAGTAACGTAATCCATTGCATTACACATTTTAGGTAATATAATCAGACTACTTTATGATTACTTTTAGATGACTTTTGACCTAACTCGTTTATCACATTGATTTAAATAGGACAATATCGTACCATACTGATATAAAAATACAAACAGTAAGATAATGAAAGATAACAACATGAAGTCCATTAAACATGACATTACGTCAAGGTTTCCAAACTGGGGTTTCTAAAGGAACTGCAGGGGGTTCGTGAGTTTAATGAAAAGCTAATAATTAATTAAATCATAAAAATTTTTAATTAAAATAAATAATTTTAAAATAGCATTGATTAAAAAAGGTACAAAAAAATTAAGATTCAAGATTTTTATTTGTAACATACATGGTTATATAGAGAATATATGACCAGCAGTGAAATGTAAGTCAGGTTCGCTCCATGGACAGTGCAATTATTAAAGAATACAAACACAAGAAAAAAATAAATAAATATAGGTATGGAAAAAAATATTAAAATAAGAATAAAATAAAATGTGCAGGACAGTATACTGTAGACTTAATAAATATTAAGATGAGCAGGAATGTACAAGAGAAGAATGTGCAAACAGGTTGTACAGGGTAGTTCGATAGCAGCAATAGAGTTAAAAAAGTAAATAAATAAAATATAACAGAAATTGCTGTGTGCATGTGGCAATGTCAGTATATTAAGTGTCAAGTCAAGTCACCTTTATTTATATAGCGCTTTTAACAATACAGATTGTGACAAAGCAACTGAACAGCATTAATTAGGAAAATAGTGTCAATAATGCAAAATGACAATAGTAAACACTAATTTTTCAGTTAAAGACAGTTCATCATTGAATTCAGTGATGTCAACATCCAGCTCAGTTTAAATAATATCTTTGCAATTATGTCAACGATAACGCTGGAAATGAAGTGTCCCCAACTAAGCAAGCCAGAGGCGACAGCGGCAAGGAACCAAAACTCCATCGGTGACAGAATGGAGAAAAAACCTTGGGAGAAACCAGGCTCAGCCGGGGGGCCAGTTCTCCTCTGACCAGACGAACCAGCAGAAGTGTCTTACTGATAATTAAGTGAAGTCATGTTGGTGTTAAGAGACTGAGTTTGAGTTTAGGAGCCTGATGGCCTGGGGGAAGAAGCTCCTCCTAAGTCTCTCGGTTTTTGCCATCAGGCTACGGAAGCGCTTACCAGATGGCAGCAAAATGAAAAGACAGTTACCAGGGTGGTTGGAGTCCTTGATGATTTTAACAGCTCTGTTTTTGCAGCGTTTGAGGTAGATGTCCTGTAGAGAGGGGAGAGCAGACCCTGAGATGCGCTCAGCTATGCGCACAACTCTCTGCAGGGCTTTGCAGTCTTGACCGGAGCTGTTCCCATACCACATTGAGATACACTGAGTCAGGATGTGAGTTTCTCTACCTCATGCAAGTATGCAGCCTCATTGTTGTTGGAACTGAGGCCCAGAACCACAGTATCATCAGCAAATTTGATAATAGATGTGGAGCTGTGGGAAGACACGCAGTCATGTAGAGAGAGTAGAGCAGGGGACTCAGGACACAGCCCTGTGGAGCTCCCACGTTCAGGGTGATGGAGTTGGAGGTGAACTGGCCTACTTTTACCACTTGAGGTCTACCAGTGAGGAAATCTAGAATCCAGTTGCAGAGTGAAGAATTCAGGCCAAGGTCCATGAGTTTAGAAGCTAGCTTGATGGGGACTATAGTATTGAAAGCTGAGCTATAGTTGATGAATAGCAGCCTTACATAATTCCCATTGCTGCTGTCAATGTGGATGAGGGAAGAGTGCAGGACATGAGAGATGGCATCTTCAGTAGATCTGTTGGGGCGATAGGCAAACTGAAGAGGGTCCAAAGTATCAGGGATGGAGGAGCAAATGTTGCTCTTTATAAGTTTCTCAAAGACCTTCATGACTATTGACGTGAGGGCAACTGGACGATAGTCATTCAGGCAAGATAGGTTATTGTTCTTAGGTACAGGGATGATGACAGATTTTTGAAAGGGGGTGGGAACCACCGAGGTAGCAAGGGACTCATTAAAGATGGATGTAAACAAACCAGCGAGCTGATCAGCACAAGACCTCAGAACACGGCCAGAAATCCCATCAGGACCTGCTGCTTTCCTGACGTCCACTCGCTTTAGGGTCCTCCGAACCTCGTCCTCTGACACAGTGATTACATGATTATCGCTGCTCTGTCTGCTGCTTCCTGACGCGCTGATCGGCAGAGTTGCGCTGCCTCGATTGCATTCGAAGCGGCTGTAGAAAGAGTTTAACTCGTCAGCTAGCGACGGGTCTGCTCTCACAGCTGCAGAGGATTTATTTCCAAAGGTACAGATGGTTCTCAGTCCCTGCCACATGCGTCGAGAGTCATTGAGATGAAAATGAGACTCTATTCGTTCCCTTGTATCGGAGTTTGGTGGCTCTTACCGCCCGTCGGAGATCATAGCACGATGCTTTGTACTCACTCATGTTCCCCGACGACAGACTGGCGTTGTATGCGGCAGTTTAATATTTTGTTTGTTTACCTGAATGTCATATTACCATTAACCAACGTCAGAGAACCATGAACACAAAAGTCACTTTCAAACCAAGCAGTTTTCTGTTGGCCAACGTTGCGTATTTGCATGAACAAATGAACCCGATGTGACCTCACCTTTAGAGAGTTTTAAAAACGATCGAATCAGTATTGCGAACCGGTTCACTGAAACAAACTGTCTGAAAGACAGACGTCTAGTCACTTGAGTGAGTTCAGTGTTCACTTTAAGATAATAGCATGTTTACACGGAAACCCGTGATATTTTAAGGCACAATGTAACAGCAATCATGTGAATCAGGTTTTAAGGTGATATTTTCAGCAGATTGTCATAGTGGCTACACAAATACACTAGTTTTTTTTTTTATTGTTGAACGATTACAAATTACTGCATTTCTCTTTAGTTCAATGCCCATATTTGGCTCAATTGTATTTGACCAGAATTATGCAAAGTTCATGGCGTTTGTTGAAAAACTAGTTATTACTGTGGGAAGAGGCGGCCTTAGCAATTCTGAGGTCCCCTACCCCTTACCCCCCACCCCGACTGTAAGAAAAAAAAATTGGGAACCAATGGTGTGCGCTGGTGTTCTGAGGCATTCTCAGGCATTGCCTCCTCTCACGTGACTTTCCCCCATTCATTCTCAATTACCCCCCAGCAAACTCACGGCACGCTTTAGGGGATCTGTTAAAACTCAATGGGCTCAGGGGAGGCGAGAGAGACGCCGACTCCCGCTGTAAGTTTACCTGCTGGTGTCGCTGTTGGACAGTGATTTATACACTTTTTAATGTTATATTTTGTAATATTGGTGTTGTTTTATTTTTTCTACTACAAATTTTTTTCTCATCCAATATTTTGAGGAGACACTGCTTCCCTTGCCTCCTCAGAGGAAACGCCCCAGAGGACACATGGTTTTAAGTTTCAAGGGCCTCATTAATTTATTCACTGTTAGGATTTAAACACATAAGAAGATATTTTGAAGAATGTTGGTAACCAAATAGTTGCTTATAGCCATTGACTTCAGTAGGATGGAAAAATTACAATGGAAGTCAATGGAAAGAAATAAATAAAAGAAATTCATACAGGTTTAGAACCACTTGAGAGTTTGTAAATGCCTTTTAAAAAACACTGCAGCACACTTTGAAAATGCATGTTGTTCATGCGAAAACATTGTCATATAACGGTTTTCATGTTGTTTTATTTATTTCACAGTCATTGGGTCCTGAGGATGAACCAGCCTCTTCATCCGTGTCAGTTAACACTGAAAATGACAACTCAAGCCAAAATACTGAGATTAGCAGTAAGGACACTTCACAGAAGGCCGGCCAGGTGAAGCAACTGTGCCGCTTCTACTCTCAGGGCAGGCAATGCTATTATGGGAAAAAATGCCGCTTTCTTCATCAAAGAGCTGCGAGTGCACAGAAGGACGGAGAGAATGGTACAGCTCACAATGAGAAAGAAGGAAATTTGGATGGTCACACATCAGACCCACAGAAGCAGTCGAGTGAAAACGGACGCTCTGGTACAGTGGAGCATCTGCCTCCATCCAGCCACAAAACTGTTCCTGTGAAGCAAGAGAGAGCCAGGCGACCATGCCGCTACTTCCTGTCTGGGTTTTGTGCAATGGAGGACCGGTGTCGCTTCTTGCATCCACAGCAATTTTCGCCCATGGAGGACCAGCCTCATGGCCCGAAAAAGAGAAGCAGCTTCAGGCCTTCTGCTCCGGCCACACGGCCAGCTAAAAGTCAAGAGCAGGTCAAACTGGCTGATCTCACTGATGAGGTCTGCAAGCAGCTGAGAGCCACTGAGATCGCTCAGCTCACGAAGAGATTTCCAAAAGACAAACTCATCGTGCAGGAACGAGAAGATGGACAGCTGACCTACTACAGAGTCACTGTTCAAGCCACGGACCCTGACTGGGTAAACACTTATTGTATGGACCAGGGGTGTCCAAACCTGTTCCTGGAGTGCCACTGTCTTGCAGAGCTGATCTCAAACCCTAATTAAACACACCAAGCAAATCAAGGTCTTCAGACTCGCTAGAAACCTTCAGGCAGTGTGTTGGAGATGGTTGGAGCTAAACTGTACGAGACACTGGCCCTCCAAGATTGGACACCCCTGGTATAGACCACAGAGTGGATTAAAGTACAAAGTAGCAACCAAAGGCCAACCATGTGCCAAATGTTAAGAGGAATTAGGGAGCACTGATATGTTTGCCAATCCTTAATATCAGTATCGTACAGCTGATTGAGCAAAACTAAATGAAAGAAGATCAAGAATGGATTACTTTCGTGTAATGCTTGTTTGCATAACTCAGGGGTCTTCAAACTCGGATCTGGAGGGCCGGTGTCCTGCAGAGTTTAGCTCCAACTTGCCAACTCACCTGCCTGGAAGTTTCAAATATATTTAGTAAGAGCTTAATTAGCTGGTTTAGGTGTGTTTAATTAGGGTTGGAGCTAAACTCTGCAGGACACCGGCCCTCCAGGACCGAGTTTAGTGACCCCTGGCATATATTATTCAGATGTACTGAATATTACCATCTGAATGAGTAGATCAAAGAAGAAAATTTTAGTTTTCAGATTTGCCATCACAGAAAAAAATACATTTTGAAATATATTTACGTATAAAACAGTTATTTTAAATTGTAATGATATTTTGAAATATTACAGTTTTTACTGTATTTTTGATCAAATAAATGCAACCTTGGTGAGCATAAAAAGTTCATTCCAAAATATATTTAAAAAAAAAATATTATTCCAAACTTTTGCTGGCAAGCTGGATACAGTTATGCTGTATTCATATACTGAGAAAGCTATACTGATAATGTCAGTTATTATTGACTTTTGTACCACTTTACGTATGTAAAAGAAAAGAGCTTCTTGTGCATTTTCATAATCAGCAGTTGCAAGCGAGTTACTACATATATACATTTATAGATCACAAATAGATGACTTATAGTTACATGTACAGATACAATTTAATGCAAAGCATATCTAATGAAAAGTTTTGACATGAACTACAGTAGTTTCATAAACGGCAATATTTTTTCTATTTTGCAGCCATTTGACCTTACTGAAGTGGACGTCATGGTCAGCTTTCCTGAGCGTTACCCTCAAGAGGTGTGCATGTTTGAAATGTTTCAAAATTTGATGTTAAAACATACAGTATGCTATGTTTTTGCTAATGAAAGCTACCGTATTAAAGGTTTTCACTGTGGATGTCCCTGAAGACCAGGAATTACCATCAGTCATGGGGAGGTGAGAAGAACCGTTGCTGGTTATACACATCATGCAAATGTCAACTGAAATCAGTAAGTGTATTTATTTTATGCTGTGTGAATGCAGACATGTGCAGAAGGCCTCAGAGGAATGGCTAAAGGCTAAACATGCCACTAATCAGCTGATGGGGAGAGTCGAGCTGCTCTTCAGGCCGTATTTGCGCTGGCTGGACCGTAGTATGGAGAAACTTTTTACTGAGGGAGCCAGGCAGGTGAGACTCACACTTACCTGAAAATATACATCAGCCAATCAGATTAGAGCTTGTCCAATCGAGAAAGTCTTCCAAGATTTGTGTACAATATGCATCAGATGGGCAGTGAACGGACTAGATGTGGTGTTAATTACTTTCGAATCTCTCTTCTCAGTTGAAAAAAGATGTTGACCTAGAGAGGGCTGGAATACAGTTTGTCCCCTATGAGCAACTCAAGGTCACCGTTTTTAAGAACACATCCAAGAAATCGGACACTCCTGAGCGTATAGTGTCACTTACTGTGTATATATATATATATATATATATGTGTGAAATTAAGATATATTAAAACTAATATTCTATTAAATATTTCAAAAATATAACTAAAAATCAAAATTTTCACCCAAATGTAAGATGGTTTCCCTTTCAAGCTGTGTATACCAGGCAAAGTTTAAAACCCTAGTAAATAAATTATTGTGAGGTAGGTGAGTGGGCAGTCCTTCGCTGTTTTCTCACTATCTCCAAATTTCATTTAAAAGATTGGATCACAGATCATTTTTTAAATGTTTCTAAATGCACCTGTATTTAGAGCTATGGATTTCTGATCGGAAGTTTGATGTCAATACCTGGTACAAACGTAGTCTCTTATTTCTTTAGATAACTGATTTATCACAAAATGCCCTCAGTCAAAAGTGCAAAGTATCCATGTGCCCTTCCTTGTAGGTGTAAAGTGGATTCTGACCTGACCCTGACCGGGCGTCTGACCTGTACTGCTCAGTGTGAGAAATGTCAAGCAGGGGTCAGGGCTGCCTTCAGACCCAGTATGCTGCACCACTACAGTGATGTTTTGGGCTATCTGGACCTTAATGCAGTTGTGCCTGTAGATCTGGTACTGAAGGACTCTGTGTTCACTGTGGGTTGCCTTAACTGCAACAAGGAAGACACAGTTCAGGTTTGATGACGATTCACTAGAGATCACAATTGACATATTGCATTATTATTACTTCATATATATATATACAGTATATTTCATTTTATTCACCAAGGATGCATTAAAGGATCAAAAGTGATAGTAAAGACATTATTTGTAATGTTACAAAATATTTCTATTTCAAACAAACACTTTTTTTGAACTCTCTATTTTTCAAAGAATCCTAAAAAATGTATCACAATTTTCACAAAAAATATTAAGCAGCACAACAGTTTTTAACTTTGATAATAATATTGATATTGATAATAATATTTTTTTTTATTGAACCAAATCAGAGTATTAAAAGATTTCTGAAGAGTCATGTGACATAGAAGACTAGAGTAATAGCTGCTGAAAAAATTAAACCGGAATAAATGAGATTTTATTACATTTTACACTACATCAAAAAATGTGAACATGCAAATGCATATTACTTTTCCCACACTTGATGGACATAATCTTACACGTAAAGATGACTTTACAGAAGATGAATTAATAGAATTAAATATATATTTAATTATTTGCATGCTGTCACACGTTACTTTGACAGCCCTACAATTTGACACTGTCAGATAAACGCATATCATCAGCAATATGTTTTTCTGGAGGATTATAAGAATGGAAAAGCATTTGATATTATTGTCCATTTTGCTCACTCACTTTTATTTTCTTTTTTTCTCTAGAATCTGACTTATGGTCAAAACTGGGAGCAAAACTGCCAACATTGTCATACCAAACTCAGCATTTTTGTAGAGGCGACACGTTTCCAGTTCATTCAGCCAGAGTCCAGAAATCAGACAGGTCTGAACCCTGTCCTGTATACTCAATGATTCTGTCCAGTTCTTGTTTCTTGTTCACTGATATCGTAGAGTTAGTCTTGCTGTGAGGAATTATTTACCGCCAGCACCTGGTTTAACACTGAAGTTTAGCGAGGTTAAGTCTGGTCAGTATCTGCACGGGAGACCCCCTGGTACAACAAAGGTTGCTGCTGGAATTATGTGTTAGTAATGCTAGCTGGGGTCTGTGTGGGTCCTGTTGTCCCATATAAGGACACTGTACTGTAAAAAGGCACTGTTATTCGGCTTTAGATTGAAGTCCTGACTCTCTGTTGACATTAAAGGCACAATATGTAAGATTGTTTTATTAAAATATCCAAAAAGCACTAGAACAGTGTTATATATTTTGCTGACTTGTGTACTTACATTATTCCAAATGTTTCGAAGAATGTTTAAATCCAGAGAAATATTTGGATTTAAACATCCATAAATCCATTGTGTCGCCTGCCAATGACGTCATAACCCCTCGATTTTCCAGAAAACACCAAAGACGCTTTAATATGTTGTGCGTTTTAATAGACCGGTGCCGACCGCACAGAGTAGCATTATAACAGAACTTTCAAATGTATCTAGTATGATAAAACAGCGCTGCTTTACCCCACATACCCACGACCGGAAGGAGTGGAAGCGGTTGACTGTGGCATAATAAAAGCTCCGCTGCTTTCGAGCCGTGTGTCACGCTCGTTCAGCGGCCTCGTTTCACTTCGACGTTTTACCCTCACCCTGTTTCATTCTACTACGTTAATAAATCATTAGCTCATCCATGAACATGATTTCTGCCCGAGTCCCGTCGGATTGCTTCGGCTGTGGGGATGAAGACGACAACTCCCATAATTCCACACTCAGTCACGGCGTCATCAAACTACCCCTTTGTTTCTTTGTTTGTTTTGAATACGCGCCCTCTAGCGGCGAAAATGACATATTGTGCCTTTAAAAGTCCTAAAGTGTTTCTCAACTCTCCATGGTTAGCTGTTCTGGTGCCTTGAGGTTGAGGAGATTCCTGATCCTCTCTTTAAAGTGCATTGAGTGTGAAACGCTGCATATAAATGTAACAGATTATTGTTATATACTAAATTCACAGGTGCAGCTGCCCAATACACTCGATGCTACAGAGATCCTGCGGTTCAGCAAGGGAAACCCCTACCTGATAAAGGAGCCTGCAGGCATTTTAAACAAAGTCACCGGTGGCTAAGGTAACTCCCGGGAACATTGTCTGGGTCTGTAATAGGTTTATTTTGTAGCAGAAAACTTTGTGTACTGCCACATCCTCTTGTTTAGGGCAGCCGTCTTGTACTAACTACTGTCTTTGCTGCTAGATTTCCATGCTGTGGTCGGGCGTACCCATGCGACGTGTGCCATGATGAAGATCAGGACCATCTGATGGAGCTGGCCACCAGAATGATCTGTGGTTATTGTGCCAAAGAGCAGGTCAGGGGCAGAAATGCCGTCGGGCTGACTGGATGAGGATTATTTTCACTTTAAACCTCCTTAACCCAGATATTGCATTGAAATTAGAGGCCAATTAGGCAGGTTTCCTGCTCATCTAAACCTTTGGCTTTTGGAAATACTACAACACTGTGGGTGCAACAAAAATGTTTTGACCCAAATTTTGCCAAGACAAATAAGAAAGCAAGACATTTGTTCCAAAGACAAGAATGGGTCAACGAGTTTTGTCTGGTTTTGCTTAAGGGTCTAGATTTTCCATTGGACATCAAATGATGACACAGTACCAAACTAGTTAACTTTTCTTAAAGCATTTAGAATCTAAAACATTTAGAATTAAAATATTTTCCTATTGAATTGAATATGAAAATCATTTTTTAATTCTAAATGTTTTTAGATTGTAAATATTTTTAGAAAAATCACTTTGATTCTAAATATTTTGAATTTTGGTGATTTCATGAAAATGATCTACAGTATAAACAAAGTGGTCAGCACAAACTGTGTTTATCCATGTTGCATGTGAACCTCCATTTAATGTAATTTTTATTTTTCATAGTTTTTGAGAATGAGACATAACGGTCAAACTGTCTGTTACAAATTATTTTGCGCCAAAATATTAGAGTGGCCTTTCAACAAATATTAACATTAACAACAAATATATGGGAAGCGTTTTCTTCTCCCTATTTAAAATTTAAGCCCATGTGTTTTACTGTAAAAAGTACAAATTATCTCTGAACTATAAATGTGACCCTGGACCACAAAATGTAGCACGGAGATATTTGTAGCAATAGCCAAAAATACATTGTATGGGTCAAAATGATCGATATTTAGTAAAGATCATGTTCCATGAAGATATTTTGTAAATTTCCTACCATAGATATATCAAAACTTCATTTTTGATTAGTAATATGCATTGCTAAGCACTTCATTTGGACAACTTTAAAGGTGATTTTCTCAATATTTAGATTTTTTTACACCCTCAGATTCCAGATTTTCAAATAGTTGTATCTCGGCCAAATATTGTCCTATCCTAACAAACCATACATCAATTGAAAGCTTATTTATTCAGCTTTCAGATCAAAATTTTACACTAAAAATCGAAAAATTTACACATAAGACACTTTAAATAATTAATGCCGTTGTATTATTTTTCTATATAGAAATGATTGCATTTTGCATTTCCATTTAGTATTGTTTTTTTCCTTCCTGTCCACAACTTTATCTGAACACACCTTTTGGGTCTCGACTCACCAGTTGAGAACCACTGGTTTCTAATAAACTTATAACTTTTGACGACTTGTTTTATTTTCTTCTTCTAGCCATACTGCAGCGGTAAACCATGTGTTGGTTGTGGAGGTATGATGACAAGAGCAGCCTTCTCAAGCCACTGGGAGGGTGGACAGGGCTGTAGAAACAAGGTTAAGATGAGCAGGTATGTGCTGATTTCGTTATACTTTATAAACCCTGTGGCAGTGAAATATAGCATAGTGTAACATTTACCTACTGTTACATACTGTATGTTGCAACATGTCATATATTTTATTTGATCAATACCTTACATACACTGTCACATCTATCCTTAAACTAATAGTTGTTGACAAACCTAGAATATGGTCGTTTTTTTTTGCACATGTAAACATCTAAACGAATTTGGTTATGACATGATCATGGGTTTTACATCTCTGAACTGTATATGAACTTATTATTTATTATTATTAATTATGTTGTTTTTCTATACAGGAACGACCGGCAAAAATACGCCAATACATGTAAAACAGTGGCAAAGAAAAAGACTAAAGCCTAAAAAGTAACTAAAGATACCAGAGGACCTTATTTTCAGCCAATCAGATGATACATGGCTAGGTACCTAATCATGTTTGTCATCAAATCACATTTTTAGATTTTCTTTTCAGATGATTTCACAAAATTATTTTCTTGCAATGTACAGTACATTGAATTTGAAATAAAATACATTTGACATACATAAAATAGATTTTTCATATATTCAGCATAACATGTAAACTGTTCCCACTTTCTATACATCTCCTCTATTTTTGTTTGCTAGTAGAAAAAAAAAACATACATATTGTATTTGCATAAATGCATTTACATCTTTGGTTTTAGATTTCTTAAGAATACCTGAAATGTTATTATGATGTTATTTTAGTCACTGGACATTTTCTCTCTCTCTCTTATTTTTTTTTTTCAAAATGCAACCACATCAAATTATGGATTATTGTATCCAAAATGTAGTAGTGCAATAAGCAAAATATGGAATGCAAAATATTTCTGTGCATTTTCTATGATTGTAATTGAAATAAAATTATGTACAAAAATATTTTTGTTATTATTATTAATATGGAATGGGCTATGCAAAATATTTAATTCAACACTGCATACAGTTGTGGTCATAAATTAACACACCCCAGAATCTGCAAAATGTTAATAATTAAAAAATGTTAAAAATATTTTTATGACAGTGTTGGTCTTGGTGGACTAGATCTGCTACAAACACTACTGCTACTTTGAACATGTAAAATATGTTACTGTTGTATGAATACGCATACATAAATTCCGTAGCAGATCTAGACAGGTGGAGCTGGGGGAAGCGGAGGGTTTCAAAGGACCTCTGATAGCGCGCTGTAGGACCAGCTTATAGCAAACACTGAACCAGACTCTTTACAGTAAATGTTAAGCAAGAGTTTACATATAGTCCACAAGTTAAAGTCAAATGCATTTTTTTATTTATTAGATTTATTTAATTGTACCAAAGCAGAAAGATCAGTGGAAATTGTTATTTTGTCTTCTGCATAGAAGAAGGTCCTTGTTAGGTTTTTGATAATGGTTACATTTAACATCTATGTAAAGTTTCAGTTTTTTATTTATTTATTCTAACTAATCTGTGGATTCAGTAAAATGGAGAGAACTGATCCATTCAATAACCCAGACACTAAAGAGAGTGAGAGACTAGGGTTTTGGGGAAAGCTTTTCTTTTGCACCAGGATTTGAAGGAAGTAATCCAGCATAACATTTGTTTTCTTGCGGCCTCGGTTCATGTTTTGGAAAGGTTGGGTTGTGGGGTATTGGCTGAGAAAACCGAAGAGAAAGTGCCCAATAATGGCTTGATAGGAGGTCTAAGTATGGCTCAGCAGTATAAATAGGGCTGGGTTATTCCCATTAGCATTCACTTGCCTTTGCTCAATCTAGCAGCAGGATGTGGAACATCACTGAAGTTGCTCTTCAGCTCCTGACCTCCACAGCTTCAGACAGTCTCCTCCAGCCCCTGTGAGACTACCTGTTGTTCCAGCACTTCACCCTGGTCTCGTCTCCATTCTTCCCAGTGCTGCTCGCCTTCTCCAGCTACGTCATCTTCAGCGTCCCCTTCACCATCCTGGATGTCTTGGGAGAGATATCTCCTCTCTTCAAGTACAAGATCCAAAAAGAGCGCCGTCCCACCATCATCTAGTGTTTGTGCTTCCGGCTGTGTTGATCACCAATGCAGTGCTGCCTACGCCTCCACTTCCTGCGTTTGCTCCAACAGTATGGGAACTGATCGCCGGCGGGTTGGGTGTTGTGCTCATCTTTGACGCCCAGTACTTCTTCTGGCATTTGGTGCACCACAAAAATCCTCACCTGTACAGATGGGTCTACGCCATCCATCACGATTACATCTCGCCGTTCTCCTGGTCCACCCAGCACCTCAGCGTTGTGGAGCTGATGACAGTGGGCTTCTGGAGTAACATAGATCCCATCCTGCTCAAGTGCCATCCTCTGACCATATGGACTCTCACTGTTTTGTGGAAGACCAGCCACCTGCACTCTTAAAAATAAAGGTGCTTCAAAAGGTTCTTCAAGCGTTGCCATAGAAGAACCATTTTTGGTTCCACAAAGAACCATTCAGTCAAAGGTTCTTTAAAGAACCATCTCTTTCTTACCTTTTTATAATCTGAAGAACCTTCTTTCACCCCAAAGAACCTTTTGTGAAACAGAAAGGTTCTTCAGATGTTAAAGGTTCTTTATGGAACCATTTAGACAAAAATGTTTTTCTATGGCATCGTGAAGCACCTTTATTTTTAAGAGTGTGGTTCCTTTTGGGCTTCTTGGAGGAGCAATGGCCCATGACATACATCACCAGAAACCCAGCAGCAACTTTGCACCTTTCTTTAGTCACTGGGACAGATTCTTTGGCACTGCCGTAACAGTGAAATGGACTAAGAAAATTGATAAAGAACAGTAGACAGTTTAATTGGTTTTAAACCTTTAATATGTGTAAGTATAGACCATTTAAATACTTTTATAAATTTTTATTTTTCTATTCTTGTATTTCTGTCTGCATTCTATATGGCTGAAATTAATAAAGAACATTTTTCTATATTTTGTTGTGCAAGTTTCAGAATATTAAATATGTAGTCCATTTTTATTATACAAATAATTTGTTGCCCTATACGGTATCTAAGCCACACATTTACATTTAAGCATTTTATCCAAAGCGACTTACAAAAGAGGAACAAAAGCAATTTGTCAAAGAGCCAACAATATTCGTAATATGCAATTCCAGGTTTATTAGAGGAGGAATGCAGAAAGAAATAGATTTTTGTTGTTGTTGTTGATGTCTGAATTATTATTCCAGTAAGTAGCGGCCAGAAAGTGGTACCACATAACAACCCTTGTCTTCGCATTAGTTACAGCCAATGGTCTGATATTTTACAGCTTTACAGTAGTTAAGTAAAAAGACATCATATCTAGTAACTAACCCGATTACTGAGCCTGCGAGGTTTAAAGAGAAAGGTATTTTTGATACCCTCAATCCTCCAAATCACTACCAATAATTTATTACAGATTAAAAGGTCAAATATTCCATTACTAAATATCAACTTGCAAATCTCTTTGAAATGGGGATGAATAAATAAGTTTTTTTAGCCAATAACTAACCAAAAATATTTTGATATATATTTTAAATGTGGCCAAAAAAGACTAGATATATGTGGACTATATAAATGTGAAGAAAAAAAAAAAAAAGCCCAACAAAGATGTAACCAAAATACATCACAATACAAATGTTGCTATATTCACGATGCAAACAAGTCTGAGAGGTCATGACAGAAGTTATTGGAGTGCATGCTTTCTTCAAATGAAATTATACGATTATAATTTTGCACATAAACAGCTGGCCTGACTCACGCACAGAAGAATCAATATGGCTCTCCAAACGTTTACATTTGCCCAGAGGCATAAACAAAAGACTTGCATGAAAAACACTAATAGTCAGCGTCTCAATGAGTTTTATGGTTCATTTCATTAGCCTGTTCACGTCTGAAGCATGAAAACATCTGTATGTACGCATTGATGACTTCAATCAAACCTTATGCTCATTTCAAGGTCTGTGAACCAATGAAGACAAACATCCAGACTACAGCTGAACGCTTCCCAGCCTGTTCCCTGTTACTGAGGAAAATGAGGGGAAAAAAAAAATAATCATGCACTATTGTGACCGGTCTAGGTGTTGGGAGTAAAGTTGGATTCACACACATCAATAAATATAGAAAGACATTAAAAGAGTTCAAATTTTATTGCACTCAAAACATTGTTAAAATGCTTGAAACTTGAAAACAATAAATATGACCTTAAGAATTACAAAAAAGAAAAAAAAAAACTGTTAGTGCATGCTCTTATTAAGATACTGCACAAACATATTGGCAATCTGTCCAATGTTCTCTGTCGGATGCATCTTGGTGTAACTGATGAACTGACGTCTGAGTTTCCTCAACTCCACCATGTTAAGACTTCTTGTGAGTTCAATGTATTGAAGAAGTTAAGAAAACTGGGCTGGTACAATAATGTACATAAGTATTTGTGGTAAAAGTACCACAAAAATATTAATCAGCATAACTATTTTTAACTGTGGTAATAAGAAAGGTTTCTCAAGCACCAAATCAGTATATCAGAATGTATTCTGAAGGATCATGTGACACTGAAGTAATGGCTGCTGAACATTCAGCTTTGCCATCACCAGTGCTGGATAGATTACTTACAACTTGTAGTTCATTGCTGATTACAATTTCCACGTCGAAAATTGTAGTTAGCAATGTAATTGATTGGATTACACATATTAGATAATGTATTCTGACTAATCTTTATTTCTGTAATATATTCCATTGTTTGTTATCAAAGTCATGAAATGTATTAAACATTACATTATGCCAGGGTTTCCCAAACTGGGGTTCATGAGTTGATGAAAAGCTAATAATTAATTAAATTATAAGCATTTTATTAATATGTAATACAATCTAATTACAAGTATTTAATTTTTGGAATCGAATTACATAATCCGGAATACATGTAAGCAGTTACTACTCAGCACTGGCCATCACAGAACAAAATTACATAAAAAAAAAATATTGAAATTTAAAAAAAGTTATTAAACATTTCACAATATCACCATATTTTTGGTCAATTAAATGCAGCCTTGGTGAGCATAATAGACATCAAAAACAAAAAATCTCACTAACCACTTCCTAAACTTTTGAGTGGTAGCGTATGCTGGAAACCTAGCAGCAAGACAACAAAGAATGAGTATAGATTAATTTCTAATAATATCCCATTTGAATGAAGTATTATTTCAAAGGGCCACCTGCACTGGTCCATCTCTCTACGTGTCTAAATGCTAAAGCAGTTACGGACGGCCACCAAACTGCAACTGCATCAGAAAGAAATGACATTCTTTGATGTTTGTGTATTCATTACATTCATATAGGTCCAACTTATTACTACAACACAACTTCAATTAACATTAAACGGATCAACTTTCTGTCAGGAAGTTGCAGTCGAGCTTATTAAAGTTCCAGGCTTGATCCTGGTTTCATGTTGTAAGCGTTTCTAAAGCTTTGCCTGTGTATAGCAGGGCATTTCTGTGTTGTCACAGTGAGAAATATCAAATAGCTA